GCTCTGGCTCTGGTGAATTCTCTCACCCTCCCATGCTTCTGACTGTACCTAGTGCTTGTATAAATAAATAAATAAATAAATCTTTAAAAAAAAAAAAAAAAAGATGTTTTCAGGTTGCTAGGCTGACTGAATGGGAGCAAAGACCACATTGGAGAGGTCAATTGGAGGTCAGTTCTAGGTAAGGCAGGTTAGAGGCTTTGCTACTGTGGTAAAAAGGAAGATGGTGAAGTCTCAGACATGATATACTTGTGGAAGGTTGAAAAATTGAATATTTAAAATGTTAATTTACATCGATAATAATTTGAATTTAGCTTTTCTTTTTTGGTGAACATATTTGACATGTAACATGGTGTAAATTTGAGGTGTACAGAGTGTTATTATGATACAGTTATATATTTGCCACATTACATGATCATCATACAATATCATCATCTACAGTTATTACACAGGACATTTGATCCCTGTGGTTTATTTACTATTTGTTGCAAGTTTGTACCCTTGAATACCAACAATCTTATCTCCCCACCCCTGTTTCCTGGTAACTGCCATTTTACTCTGGTTTTCTCTGAGTTGGACCTTTTTAGATTCTTTTAATACTTTAGATTTAGATTTAGATTCTTTTTTAATACTTTTTTAGATTTAGATTTAGATTCTTTTTTAATACTTTTTAATCGTGGGAAACTGATGCTGAGTAGAACCTTATAACTTAAAATTCAGGGTTGCCTCATATCAGCTAATATCAGTCCCCAATTTATCCAAGAAATAATCCCTGAGCATTTAGTACATGTCAGACATGTTTGTAGGAGATGCCTACATAGCTTAAATAAGATTTTTTTTGAAAAGCTGGGAAGGCATGTAAGAATGTCATTGTGAAAAACTTTATAAACCAGTCTACATTAGTGTACTGAGTAAAATAAAAAAATTGATTTTTGAGGGCCTTCATAGATCCCATTTTTTTAAGTGATAGACATGGCTTGTGATATATTTGAGGTTCACAAGGGAACTTGAATGCCATTCTTAAGCAGTGAATTCTTCATTCAGACTTTTGAAAGAAGGGTAGTGTGATGATGCTTCTTTTCAAATAGAAACATAGTCAGCAGGGGCTGGACTTATCTGCTTATCTCCCTCTTCTTTAGCTATCACAATATTCCCATGTGCTTTGGGTGGGATGGGTCTAACTCAGCCCCAGGGTACAAACAAGCAGCACAACGGACCCCATGGCCACATGATTGGCTCTGGATGTGCACGTCATTCAGGACAGACCAATCAAGACCTGATTTTACAATTTTGTTCACATTAATCAGTCAGCAGTTTCTATCCAAGCAAACATGGAAGTTTCTGGCATGACTGCAAAGTGTGTCTGGCAATGCAAGTCCAATTATGTGGTTAAAAAGTTGAGAAATGGTGAGAACATGTCTGGGATCGTATTGAGACCTGGGTAAAACCTCTCCTGAAGGTTGATTAGTTTATAACCTAATACATCAGCTTTCAAAACTTTACCAATATGTGTATGACTTTGCACTTGAAAGCATCTGGTGTGTTCAAACAGCAACTTCAATTAATTAGATATTTCTTCACTCTGGCTCCCTTGTTCAAAATCCTTATGAATTTTTTCTCCCTCACCCTCCTCAGACATCATTTCTCTCCTTCTTTTGGATAAAAGGTCAGTGGTCTCCCCATTTTCTCACAGGTATCACTTATTCCAATTGACATTTACACTTGAGTAAGCCTTAAACTTCTCTGACCTTTTTTTCAAAGCAAGATTTTAAAGAGATATTTCCTCTGTTTTAAAACAGCACATTGTCGCTTTTCTTGGTAAAAGGCCAGGCTGCTCCTTTAGGCTTTTTGGATTCTTTGTGTCCAGTTTGACATTCTTTTCCCTCTTTCCTGGGTTTGCTGCTTGTCTGCTTTCAGCAGTGTGGTTTGCAGATGTGTCATAGACACATGGGAACAACTTAACAGTAAGTTTAAAAAATATTTAGCCATTTTCACACACCATTCTTAGTCATGTGAAATAAATAAGGGAATAAATTAGCCCTTAAATATGCCATTTTGTGTTGAAAATGAAAAACAACAGATGTAGGTACTTGAGTGGGATAAAATACTACTAGGTACAAGTCTGCAGCCTGGCCTCATTCACAAATTTGGTTCTGTCTGAGAAAGACTGTTGGGTCCCTCCCTTGGCTGATGTTCAGGAATCCTGGGACAGAAGATGAACAGGAGTCTGTAGAATCAGAGTCCATGTTTTGTAATGGAATCAGGGATCAGAGTAGATGTTTTGTAATGGGATAAACCCCTAAGTCCAAGGACAGGTCTCATATGGACTGTGTTCACCATCAGGCTTGGGTACACAATGGAATGTTACTCAGCAATCAAAAAAGATAAACTCATGCCATTTGCAGCAACATGGATGGAGCTGGAAGGGATCATGCTCAGTGAAATAAGCCAGAAAGAAAAAGAAAAATACTGGATGGTCTCACTCATAGTAGGAATTTAGAGAACCTAAATAAGGGACCAGGAAAAAGACAAATTATAATGAAGTAAAAATCAAAATCAACAAGCTACTATAAACCTGAGATGCATTATAGGAGATGGGGTGGGGGGGAGGGAGTAGGATCAAAACAAGGGGGGTGGGAATTGTATGGGGAATATAACCAAGATGAAAATGCATGCATTGTGCAAAAATGGAAAATGATGTAAAAAATAAAAAAATAACATTTTCAGTCACTGTGCATGGATGATTCCAAATGCCTCTCTCCACTTGGAGGTGCGGTTTCTCACTTGGCTTGTCCAAGGTCAGCCCCGCCCCTGCTCTCTCATACTCCTGCCCCATCCACCCTCCTTCCCTCACCCTGCATAGCCCCCTGCCCCTCTCCCTCCTTGCGCCCCCACCCCCTTCACCTGCCGCACTGCCCACACTTTCCGTCTTTGAGTGGTGTCTTGCCTTGAGTCTCCTTCTGGTGTCGTGCCAATGCTTTACTCACATTATCTCACGGAAATCTTCCAGCGATTCTAAGAGGCATATAATCCAAGTCTACTAGGAAACCAAGATTTGGAAGCTTAGGAACTTGCTGGGAGTTCCTCAGCTCATGAGTGGTGGAGCTGAGGTCCTTATGGACGTGTGTGAGAGTCCAGACTCCATCTGCTCACTCCCTCACTGAGACTGCTCGCTAATAGGGAAAACGAATGAGTGCATTCTGAATGACCACAGTAGATGTTTTGTAATGGGATAAACCCCTAAGTCCAAGGACAGGTCTCATATGGACTGTGTTCATGTGGTTAAAAAAGTCCATCAGGGAATGTTTGGAGGTGAACTGGTACCCCTATAGACACAGTCTGTTGGGGCCTCTGACCCCTCTGGGGTGCATAAAACCCCTCTGGGTTCTGTAAAATCTCCCCCTAATATTTTCTGTTTACAAAGTCTCTTCCTTAAAGTTATTGATTATTATTTATGAAGTGTGTTGGTCTCCTCATATTATAAATATTTCAGACATTCATAAATTTTAGCAACAACTCATTCAGAATGAAAATCATCTTGAGCATCAATTATATCTGAGAGAAGAGGCTCTCTAGCACCTAATCGAGTCTCCTCAGAAACCTCTAACCTCTGTCTGTCTTCAGATTCACGTCTCTTTGCATCTTGTCTCTTCTTCCCTTTATACCCAAGAGAATCTGACAGACCTTAGGTTCCTAAGTTTCCAGGTCTTGTGTGCCATGTCAGCAAGAGCTTTCCTTCTCTCTTACCCACTGGAGACTCCCTCTCTGTGTTCTCCCTCCCTTTCTTTCAGTGTCGCTGTCCACACCTTGGTCAGCCTTGGCCGATAAAACTTCACAGCCCTCTTTTTGAAGGTCTGGCTGCTGGACATGCTTGTGCTTGCCTGTTGCATTCTTGCTTCCACCACGCCCACTCCTTCCCCATTCTCCACCTCCCATTTAGCACAGGGGCAGGGTCCTTGGTGGGACCTGAAGGCTGGGGAAAACTTAGAGCCCTCAGCACTTTCTGCATTTCTGACTTCCTGCCCAATATGGGGAGCTTTCACATCCAGGCTTTTAAGACCAGATCCCTCTGCAGAGCTCAGCCCTCGGCACAGAAGGCCAGTGAGGCTCTCTCTCAGGCCATCTGTGGGAAGGGATGTCTTGACGTCTTGACGAGCAGCCCTCCAGTCTTTTGACTCGGGCATGAACATGGTTGTGGAGTCACAAAATTCTTGTTGGATCAGCCAGTGATGTCAGGCCAGTGGCCAGGTCCAGAGGAAATGTGGGAGTCCTCTGGAGGAACAGAGGACTGATTGTGGAGGCCCCCCTTACCTGGCTTGGCCCTGGAGGATTTCCTGTGGATGCCCCACCCTGGGAGATGGGAAGTCAGCAGACAGGGCAGCCCCATACTCTGGGTATGTGCAGAGATGGGGCAGCAACCTGTGCTGCCAATTCACAAAGGCGCAGAGTTCAACCTTTGTGTTATTTAAATCTCTGTCTAAGAATCACCCTACGGGACATTCACTTGGTCTGACTTGAGATCCTTGGATATATTTTCTTTTTTTTTTTTTTTTAGATTTATTTATTTATTTATACAAGCACTGGGTACAGTCAGAAACACGGGAGGGTGAGAGAATTCGCCAGAGCCAGAGCGGAGAACAGAACAGGCAGACTGATGAAATACACTGCTGAGGGGAGCAGCGGGCAGCAGGAGAGGTCAGTCGCACCATGTGGGACCCTCGCCAGTGGTCGGGATTCCACTGGCGCTGTAGAGGCTGCGGGCAGCTTTGCAGCCCAGCGCTCAACTGCTGTGCCACCAGGGGAGGCCCCCTTGGATATATTTTCATAGGGGACCTTGAAAGTGGGTCGTGCGTGAGGCTCTGCTAAGGGCATGGCTATGCAATGGCCGGCTAACTTCCACCAACAGGTCCTGGCTTGCACTAAAATCTAAGTCATTTCATGAGTACAAAGTATAAAAGACTAACCACTTTGTGCAAGTACAGTCTTCCCACCCTTATCCACAGGGACATCCTAGACCCCCTGCATGGATGCCTGATCTGTGACAAGTACCAAGTCCTGTACATACAATGCTTGTTCCTGTGTAGACACATCTATGCTAAAGTTTGATTTACCGGTAAGAAACTGAACAATAAAAATAAAGTAGAACAATTACAACCATAAACTAAAAGTTATGTGAATGTGGCTTCACTTTACCTTTCTCTCTCTCAAAATATCATTGGTAATATTTTTGGATCATGGTTGAGTGTCAGTCAATGAAATCAGGCAAAGCAAAACCACAGATAGTGATAATACCAAGAGAGCGATGGATCTCTCGAGGGGAGGGTTTTAAAAATAATTTTACTGCACAACTAGTTAAAATGAGAGAGAATGTCCTCATAATGTTATCCTCATTAAAACAAGCCACAAGAGAGGAAAAAATTGCTGACGTCAATTTCATGACAAGCTCTTCCGACTTAATGAGCAAACTGCATTTCGAATAGTAATGATTATTTTGCTTGCCTGCTCAGAAGAAATGTTGTTGAGTATTCCCCGGCTCTCTGGGGACTTACTTTTAGAGTGAAGTATTTTACACAGCAGGTAAACCATAAATCTTACTGACCTTCCTGCAGTTAGAAACATTTAAAAATGCATCATTTCTTTTTTTTGGTGGGGGGGACTAACGTTGGAGAGAAGTCACTTATCGGGAAATTAAGTAACTTCCAGGCGCTTCACCATCAGACGGGCTGGTAATGTGGTTGCTTCTGGCGAAAGCGACAGATTGGTTTAAAGGAGATATGGAATTTGAAGGCAATTGTCCTTGAGTCCTACCAGATGAATGTGACTTAGATGGTTTTCAAAAGCAATTCAGGCCTGAATATGTGCACATTTCCAAATGTGGGAAGCAAATACCTTGCACAATTGACATCAGCCACCAATTTTAATTTCTTCAGGTGGAGAAAAGACATATGTAGGAAACTGATTTGAGCTCACCCAGGGCAGAAATCTGCAGCTTCTCTTTTTGTGCCCCTAACACCTAACATCCCCTCATCTAGGCAACAGCTCTTTCCTCTGAGTACTTGCTGAGCGCTTACTCTGTGCCAGACTGCTCCAGCTGCTCAGGGCACAGCAACAAAGAAGACAGTGTCTCTGCTCCTTTATTCTCTAGGCTGCTCCGATAAACTCCAAGAGTATCATACATCGGGTATGAAGAAAAACAGGAGAGTAAGGGGAGAGGGAGACGAGAGAGGGCGTGTATAAGTAGTTGGCTTTCCTGCCATGGTGACATCTGACCAGAGGCCGAAGAGGAAAAGCAGCCACGCAGTGGGACCTGGGGGGTTCTGGGCCAGGGAACAGCTGAGGCTCAGGGTCTGAAGTAGGAGGTGCTTGGTGTGGTTGGCAGCCCCAGGAAGGGGGGAAGGCAGAAGGGAGTGAGGCGGGCGCCCGCATCAGGCACAGTGGGGGAGAGGGCTCAGCCTTGAGGAGATGGCCGTCCCAGGGTGGAGTTGAGCATGGAGCGGGGTGAGCTGAGTTTCAGAAGTGGCCTGTATAGGTGTGGGGACAGGGAGCACTGTGGAAGGCGCGTATCAAGGGGGCGAAGGTGGCTTGCTGCTGGCGTGGCGTCACGTCTAGCAGAGCAGAGAGCCTTTCACCAAAGGTCTCAGCCAGAGCAGATCTCACCCACCTGCATCTGGTGGTTTCGCCTCCTGGTTTCTGAAGCCGGCAGATGCACTTCCCGCACTCTTATTTACCTCTTTTTTTTTTTTTTTTTTTTTTTGTGGAGTGTCTGGTGCACTTTATTTTTTATTTTATTTTATTTTTTCCCCATTTTTAATTTTTTAAAAATTTTATATATTTTTTACATCATTTTTCATTTTCGCACAATATATGCATTTTCATCTTGGTTATAGTCCCCAGAAAGGAATTCTTCAGTGTGTTCTTTTTTTAGACCCAGAAAACAGGTTGTCTTCTCAGAGGCCCCAAACATGGAAACATTTGGATATCCCAAAAGGATTAAAAAAAAAACTGAACATAATCTATGCACTTGTCTGCCACTGAAGGAGGCCTCCTACCCCCACCTTCCCACTTTGCTTCGTATTAAAAAGTTTAAAGCATTTCGTACCCTTTCTAAGTCCTGCCTAGACTTTGCAGCCAGCACAGGTCCTTCTCCACCTGGCCACAGTCCCATGTCCCACCTGTCTCCAGGCCAAGAAGCTTTCCCCAGAGGGGCTTCCTTGCTCCCAAGGGTCCAGGGTGAAGACGGTTCGTCATGTCGGTTCAGCTCACGCTGCGGGAAAGGAGCCAGTTGCTTTGCTTTCTTCCTCATTTTGCGCTTGTCTGGCCGCAGGGAAGCCAGGCTGTCTGGGTGGGTCTTTTGAGGGGGCAGCGAGAGTGAGAACTGCAGATGAAGCAGGCAGCGGTCCCAGGCTGGTAGCCACCCTGCCTCGGCCTTGGGGCCAGCGCCCTCCATGGTCAGTGCAGCCCAGGGAGCCGCAGAAGGCAGGTCCTGCCCTCAGCACCTGGGATGTGGTGGGTCGGGGCTAGTCTGAGGATAGGCACATTCAGTGTGTTTCCAGGGGATGTTGATGCTGCAGATTAGGGTTAGAGAGCCACAGAGCTAGGGGAGGCTAGAAGAGGAAGGGGAGGGGGGGAGGAGAGAGCAAGAGAGGAGCGAGATGAAGCTGTTTGGGCATCCCCGCCTGTGAGCAGGTGCCACAGATGCAAACTAGAGCGACGGGACTCACAGGAGTGCAAGCTGGTCAGGGTCTTTGAGAAGCTTATAACCTACTTCATGCTGGAAGAGAAAATGCCTCTTATTCTTTTTTTTAATAATAAATTTTATTTTTATATTCCCCATACAATTGCAACCCCCTTATTTTGACCCCAATCCCTCCCCTCCCCACCCCCCACCCCCCATAGAGTGTCTCTGGTTCATGGTTGTTTGTTGATTTTGATTTTCACTTTCTTATAGTTACTCATTTTCCTGGTCCCTTATTTAAGTTTTCTAGATTCCTGCTATGAATGAGACCGTCCGGTATTTTTCTTTTTCTTTCTGGCTTATTTCGCTGAGCATGATCCCTTCCAGCGCCATCCATGTTGCTGCAAATTGCATGTGTTTATCTTTTTTGAAGGCTGAGTAATATTCCATGGTGTATATGTACCACATCTTCTTGATCCAGTCATCTATTTTTGGGCAAAATGCCTCTTATTCTGAGGTGAACTCCTTCCAGATAATGGAGACTGAGTTGTCTTGAGGATGGAGCTGGAAGGACAGAGTAGGAGGCAGGCTGGCCAGCAGGGGTGGGTGCGGGCGAGCACAAGGTTGGTGGCAGGAGGTGGTCAGGATTGGACATGTGTGCACCAGGGGACCCTGGCTGGCAAGAGGGGAGGTCAGCTGGGGGGCAAAAAGAGTGAATTCTGGAAATAGGTCCACTGGAGAGGATGCCTTCTAGGCCGTAGATGCTGGTGAATGTGGTGGGGTGGTCAGTCAGTGATTATGTGCAACACAGAAGCTTCCTGCAGGGAAGGGGAGTGAGATGAGGAACCTCATGGGAACATCTTCATTCAACACTATGATTCTGAGGTTGTGTCCTTGGAACCTGCGATCTGAAGTGGAACAATGAGAGCAAAACCGGTCTGACCACTGGCTAAGCTAAGTTCTCTCTGAACACAAAAGCATCATCCAACTTCTCAATAAAGACCCCAGACACTTCTAATATGAAACAATCATTCGTATTAATCCATCCATCCATCCATCCAACTGTCCATCTGTCTGTCCATCCATTCATCCATCTGTCTGTCCGTCCTTCTGTCCATCCATCCATCCATCCAAATTCCAACCTGCTTATTCCAGTTCACAGCAGGTAGCTCAGGGTCAAGGCAGAACTCACCCTGGACAGGACATTCTTCCATGGCAGAGGTCTCTCTCTCTCTCTCTCTCTCTCTCTCTCTCTCTCACACACACACACATGCACACAGGCTGGGACATTGAGACAGGCTGACGACTCTCCCATGCACAGCTTTGGGACTTAGGAGGAGCCTGCAGTCCCTGGAGAAAACCCACAGCTGTGGGGAAGACATGTGAACTCTACACAGACAGGGCGCAGTAAGCATTTCTCTTTTCTCTCCGTGTTGTAACAACATGGCAATGTCTGGGGAACTGTGGACTTGGTCAAGGGAAGGGCAGGAGGAGGTGCCCTCAGACTTGATTACACCAAGTGGGCCTCAGATTCCTTCTGCTAAAGTAGACTCTACATCATGAAGAGGAGCAAATGGTGCTGAGCTCCTGGTAGGTGACACTGCCCTACTGGGAAACAGTGAGGAAGAAGCATCTTTTATGAGAATGAAAGGGAAGGGCATTCCACTTGAAGGCAGCAGCTCCCACTGGAGAAGGTAGGCTGGGTGCTTAATGTTTAGTCTCAAGTGTTGACAGCCTCACTCCTACCCCTAGCCTGACTGCTTTGCTCTTTGTCTCCATGACTTTGCCCTGTATGAAATGGAATCACTCACTGGGAGGTTCTGAATTGGGCTCCCTTCAATTAGCGTAATGTCTTCAGCCCTAACCCCGTGGTACCCAGTATCCGTAGTTTATTGGATTTTAATCCCCGAACAATGTTCTTTTGTATGAAAGTGTGGCATTTTGCTTGCCCATCCACCCCCAACCTGACTGCTTTGCTCTTTGTCTCCATGACTTTGGCCAGTATGAAATGAAATCACTCACTGGGAGGTTCTGAATTGGGCTCCCTTCACTGAGCAAGGCTGTCACTACTATTCACTTATAGGTCTTTGTAGACACACAAAAGTTTAATTGTCCCAATGGCCTTTGGTTGAGGGCTATGATCTCCTTTTCTTCAGGGAGTAAAATTGAGGCTCAAAAAATTATGAAACTTGCCCTAGGTAATAACTGTGACTGGGGTAACATTTTGCAAACCCAGCAGTTGGGCTTTCTTCCTTTGCTCTCCCATATAGGTGACTGGCTCCCCACTTAGCCCTACCCTTCTTCCACCTCAGGGGGGAGGTGATGGGATTAGGAGCACTGGAGCAGGAATGCAAAAAGAGTGAGCTAATCAGCTTCTG